TTGCATCTCCACTGAGAGTTCTATCTCACAAATATCTTCTGACATCTAATTTAGTTTCTCCTTAAATTTGGTTACTTGAGAATACATATACTATGTTGCTTTGCTAAAGAATGGGGGATATCTTTAGCCATGAATGCATTGTGTTTGTTTTAATGACTTCTCAGCTTTTCTTCTTATTTTTACATATTCATTCCGCACACACTCATAATTCTTGTGACTCTTTTATGTTGTTTTCTCTGTACCATTATCTTGCTTTATTTCATCCTTGTACGTATTGGTACCGTCTGTTAAACCATTGGCTGGCTATGCACTATTATCTAAAAGTCTAATAAGTTATAGGAATTTGGAAATAGATTCCTATAATTTATTTTTGTAATGTAATCCATAATTTCATGTGAAGATATATTGTAGAACTTTTTCTTTTACATTTTTTCAAAGAATTTTCTGGCTTTCTGGTAATCTACTTTGCAGTATGTTAATCTTATTCTGTCCTTTTCCTCTGGGCTTTACTGACATCATATATTCAGAGCTTAGCGCACAGTGGTCGCTTATTCCCTGGGATGTGTGTGTGTATTTACTATTTGTTTTTACTATTTGTGTCTGCAGAATCGAGTTATTAGCTCTTGGAACCCGTCTTTCTAACCAATTTTTTGTCCCTCTCTCATATCTACTGCAAATATTTCTCTCTAAACCACACACACACCCGTTGCACCTTGGTTTTCACGCTGCCAACCGCTGATTTAGTAAAATTAAAAGCATAGTAATATTGATGCTTCCTTCATCTGAAACGCTTTAACCTTTATAGATGAAAATAGGTTGCCTAGATTGGAACGATTCAAGTTAGGTCCAAAAAAACAAATTAGAAGCTTTACAAGAACATGAGGAAGACCTGGAAATGGCCAAGCCACAGAGAACCAAGCTGTGGGAAGAGACAGCACCCAGCTTGCACCCGGACAGACGCGTGGGGGGGTCGAACCGTCCCTACCCAGCCCTGTTATTGCCACGATATATTGTTGTAAGGGAACTGAATGGACCATGTTGGGCTTTGGGTAGCGTTCATCTATTATTGAGGGCGGCATGCGGACTCCGGCAGCGACCAGGCTACCACTAATTTGCTCAACTGGGT